CAGGCCAGGTGTGGGATATAATCTCCTGGTGTGCCATTTGCTAAGACCCTTGGTAAAGTGCAGTATTAGGGTGGGAGTTACCTGCTTTTCCAGGTGTTGTGTGTCTCAGTTTCGTTTGGCTAGGAAAAGGAATTCCCTTCCCCCTTGTGCTTCCCAGGTGAGGCGATGCCTTGCCCTGCTTCAGCTCTCGCTGGTCAGGCTGCACCAGCTGACCAGCACTGACTGTCCGACACCCAGTGAGATGAACGTGGTACCTCAGTTGAAAATGCAGAAATCAGCCGTCTTCTGTGTCGCTCATGCTGAGAGCTGGAGGCTGGAGCTGTTCCTATTCTGCCATCTTGGGCGCCCTCCCTCCCCCGCACTCATTTTTATTCCTCTATTGACTGCACTTCTAAATTGAGCAAAGTTTTTGAGATGCTTTTTGGAGTCTGCTGCTGATTTGGTACAAACTTGAGCTTGGAGGGAATAAGAGCTGACTTGGTTTGGAAAGGCTTATTTGAATAGCTGACAGAATAAATCCTGCTCTTCCACATCTGAATTTTTCCATACTACGCTTTAATGGTCTTTCTTCCAACTACATTTTTCATCATGTGCCACTTCCTCCCTCCTTTTCAGCTGCATTGACCGTTCTGTTCTGCATATTCACCATCCTTCCTTCCTCTGCAGGCCACTGGTACATAGTGAGTGCATCCTCTGCCTGAAACACTTTTCCTTCCCCTTTTCATTTCTGCAGCTCCTTCTCATTTCCCATCTTCTAGCTTCATTGGTGCTTCCTCAGAAAATCATGCTTGGGTCAACTATTCCTATTACAGATTTTTATACTATCTTTTACCTCACCTTTATGAAAGATGCCACAGTTAACAATTTACATTTTTGTGGTCTTTCTATATTTTTCTTCCACTGCATTTACTGCATTTTAACCTCCCTGTGATGTCAAGGATCATATTTGGTTCAATTCATCATTTTATTACCAGGATTTAATATAATATTGAAGCACATAGTATGCACTCAATAAATATTGAATGAGTGTAAGAATGAATGAGTGTGTTAAATGTATAAAGAAGTTGAGAGATTATTTTATTAAATGGATTAATAGATTAGGTCAGTAAACAATTGAAAACATAGTTGAGTGAACAGATGAATCTATGGATGTTAAAAAAAAAGTTAAGATCAACAACTTGCATTATCCTACAGAAAAATTTTGAATTTGTCTATTATTATAAAAGAGGAGATGATAATGAAAACTTAAAACACAAAATCAAATGTAAATGGTTTGGGAACTGCCTCCTATTTTAGAGGCTTTAAGTAGTCATTCGCCTTGGTGAGAGCATAATGGAAGATTATGAATAGGGAAAAACAGCACACAAAGGAGATAATTCACATACTCTGATACATTGTCCAGTTTCAGAGTCCTGACTTTCCCTTCTGAAAAACATTCATTGGTGCCTAGCATCTAAATCTTGCATATAGAAGTAAATGTTCTCAAGTAGAATGTACTTCCATTCTGTGCAATGTAAAAAAATAAAAAGTAAGGAAAACTTCCACAACTGCTCTTCTAAGTTCTTTAGCATTGACTCAAATCCTATCAAAAATAATGATTGTGAGATTTCATGGGGACAGAGCCTTTTTCAAAGCAGCGTAGTAATGGTTTTATGTTCTTGGAATAAGTATCAACTTGGCTAGGCCTACTTGGAAGCCTAAACACACATACTTCTCACCCTATAAATATTAGGAACAATAATTTTCAACCCCTTCCAGGACACGTATGATGGTTCCCTTCTGCCCAGATTTGCTAACTATTGGTACGTGGAACTGAGTCTTTTGGAGTACAGTTCACCATGGCAGGATTGCTTAGGAGTTTCTTCTAAAACAAGTGTGTTCTGTATTCTACTGTATGTCAGCTAGTTGGAAGAGCAGCTAAAAGTGAGATGTGGCCTAATGAAATGAATCATAGTGTCTCAAAACCCACTAGATGAGCACTAGCCAATTTATAAATCTAGAGACCCCTTTATAATTTAAAAAGATTTTGTGGATCCCTTTATTAAAATAAGAAAATTTGATAGAAACAAATGACTCCAATAAAGTGAGAAAAGCTGTTTAATGATTTTTATCTAGAGTGCCTACCCGCAGCCCAAAATAACAGAAAATATGTGTATGCGTATGTATATGCATAATGACTTAAAGCCACTCTTTGCATAGCCCTCCCCTCTCTCCCTCTAGTACCAGGATTCAAGGCCTGTTAGCTTGGAATCATTGCTCCAACTTTTGCATTAAGGAGTTTATTTAAAAATCATTTCCAACTGGAGTTGTCTAATTACAAATGAATTTTTGATCTGAGCTCAAAAGTTTCCCAAAGCCAGCAAACTAGAAGTGTTAGTGTGTTGAAGCTGCTATAACAAAAATACCATAAACATGGTGGCTTATAGACAACAAATATTTATTTCTGATATTTCGGAAGCTGGAAGTGTGAGACCAGGGTGCCAGCATGGCCGGGTTCTGGTGAAGGCCCCCTTCTAGGTTGCAGACTGCCAACCTCTCACTGTGTCTTCACATGGTAGAAGGGGTTAGGGTCTCTTGGGCCTCTTTTATAAGGGTACTAATCCCATTTATAAGGTGCTTCACCCTTGTGAAGGGCTTCACCCCATAAGGTCTTCAGCTCTTAAAGGTCCTGCCTCTTAGTACCATCACCTTAGGGGTTAGGATTTCAACATAGGAATTTTGGAGGGACACAAACATTCAGACCATAGCACTAGAGCAGTGAAGATAAAATGAAAATATCTGAGAAATTATGTAACCATGTTTAACATGAGAACGATAAAGGTATGTCATCAAATTATGTATGCCAAGTAAGTTGGAAAAATGTAAGGCTTGCAGGAATTCAGGAAAGGGAGTTTGGCTAAGGGGCTGGGCTGGAAAGCTAAGCTCTGAACAATTTAGATTTTGACAAACACAAAGAATATTCCAGATCAGAATGAAATGGCTGGAACAAAGGCTCAAAAATACAAAATATCTGGGATAGTTTCCTGCACATAGAGAATCTTCAAGTTTTTTAAAATTGTTGACTCATCAGTGGATGAATGGGCAAACAAAATTTGGCATATATATATACACACACACACACACACACACACATATACACAGACACACACACACACAGTAGAATACTATGTAGCCATAAAAAGGGGAGAAAATTCTGTCATTTGTGACAAGAGGGATGAACCCGGAGGACATCATGCTATGTGAAATAAGTCAGGCGCAGAAAAATATCATATGATGTCACTCATATGTAGAACCTAAAAAAGTTTATCTCAAAGAAATAGGGTAGAATGGTTGCTGCCAGGGGTTGAGGAAATCGGTGGGGGAGGATTGGAAGATGTTGTTCAAAGAATACATTTCAGTTAGGTGGGACAAATAAATTCAAGCCCTCTATTTTATAACACGATGATTATAGTTAATAACAAGATATCGTACTCTCAAAAAATGCTGAGGGAGCGGATAAGTGTTTCACCACAAAAATGAAAACTATATAAGGTAATTTATCTTAATTAGCTAGATTTAGTCATTCTACAATGTATATAAATACTTCAAAACATGTTGTATGTAATAGATAAAATTATATCTGTCAATCTAAAAAGTAAAATAATAAATAAAAATTTTGATTCAGATACATAAAGCATATATGGGGAAGTTTAAACTTGAAAAAGAAAGATGGTGGCCAGGCGCA